ACATACTGAAACAATGTTTAGAATATGATCTTGTTTTTGTTTGTATATAATATGTAATCAAACAACATATGTTTATTTCAGTATGTACAGTTTTAGAGAAATAAATCTGAAATATGTTCACCAAATGAACATTTCTAGGGAGTGAAATTCTGAGTGATTGTAATTTTTTCCTTTTTGCTTATTTACCTCTAAGAACTTTTCTTCAACAAATGTGATTTACTTGTATAAAGATAAAATTACAAAAAAAAAGACATTTCGAGCCAGAATCAGTAGCTTTGAAGACTCCTTGGGCGTGGGGAAAGAGAGAAAGGTAACTGTCAAAAGGGACTTGGGATTATGTTAGTGGTGGGGCACCACGGAGGCAGAGAGGAGTGGGAGAAGATCACAGGTTAAGGCCGGACACACTGAGTTGGAGGTAGAAATGTCCGACCGGAAGTTGGAAATGTGGTTCTGGAACATAAGAGTGTCACAGCTGCTGAGACAAACGTGCAGTGAAGAGGTCCTTGCATCTCCAGTAAGGAGGTTGTTGACTGCCTTTGAGAGCCAGTGGGGCAGAGAGGAAGGTTGGAGTGCAGTAGGATAGAGGGCAAATGGGTGACGAGGAAGGATAAGCAGCAGATGTGGATACTCCTTCCTTGATGTTGGTGGAAGAAGCAAATGAGCATTTTAGGGTAGGAGACAGAGTAGGTTTGGTGACAGAGATTTAAAAATCTTCAACATAAAATTTAAAAAAGCAGAGGGGCAAGAGTTAATCAATCAAACCAATCAGCAAAGTATGTGGAACGAGAGAAGAAATGTGCCCGGCCTGGACCTCAGTGAATAAGCATAGTTTGGGTCTAAAATTCTAGATTGTCAGTTTTCCTCTCAGAGCTTTGAAGATACAATTTTTACTATTTCCCACCATTTCTAACAAGAAGTAAGCTGTCAGTCTAGATAACCTGTCTTTTCTCTCTGGGGCTTTTAAGATTTCCTTCTTTCTTTTTTCTTTGTATTTATCTTTTTGGGGCGTGCTTAAATTTCTGAAGTCAGAGGATCCACAACTTTCAGCAGTTCTGGAACACTCACAGGTGTCCTCATTCCACAGCCTCTTCGCTTTTTCTCTTCTGTCCCGTAATGCTGATCTGCCATGTGCTACCCCCTCTAACTACCCACCGTTCCTCTTAACCTCTTTTCTGTGTTTTTAATCTCTTTGTCTTTTTATGATGTGCCTTGATCTAATTTCTTTATCTTTCAGTTTATCCCTTCTCACTTTTAACTTATTCTTAGCCAGATAATACACAGAGTTTTTTAATTTTATTTTTAAGTAATCTCTACACCCAACATGGGGCTCGAATTTACAGTCCCAAGGTCAAGAGTCACGTGCACCACCCACTGAGCCAGCCAGGCACCTCGACACACACAGTTTTAAAAGCCAAGGAATTATATAAGACTTGTGACAAAGAATGGTAGTTCCCTGACAATTGTCCCTTATTTTCTGATCTCCAGGAATTTTCAGCTCTTTAAACAGAAACTTTTAATATTTGTCTCCACCTATGTAAAAATGTCTGTTTTGCGAACTTCTTGGCTTTCAGTTTGGCATAATCTCTTGTTTTTGTACCATGGAAGATGTGGATTTGGCTTTGTTTACACACACACACACACACACACACACACATAACACACACACATATTTCCCACACCCAGACATCAGATATATGTGGTTAGATCAGTAGTGTTTATATTTCACAACTAGGAAAACACTACTCACTGCTGGACCTTGATTAATTTCCTTTCCTGCACGTCTTCATCTTTTCCCTTGAGTTAATAGTCGGTACTTAGCTTTCTACGTACAGGACAATAATTTAACCCTAAACTGCCCTCTGGGTGTATAGCTGTCTTCCCATTATGCTCAGACCTGTTACATACTCGGCTGTGTGGTTGGAGGAAGGCTTTCTCACAGCCATTCGCCGGCCCCGCTCTGGACGGTGTGGCTTCCAGGCCCATGGACCTCTCTGACCTTGGACTCTCCCTCTGCGACCACACCAAGGGCTTCCTTTGCTTCCTTCTCAAGTTTGATTCCCTGCTTCCTGGATCCCGTTTGTCTCCTTCATCTGACTCACTGCATCATTTGGTACAGCACATCCTCCAGGAGCATCCTGAGAGAGGGTGCATGGAGATCTTCTTCCCAGAACCCCCAGGTCTAAACCTGCCAGAGTCTGTCCTCACACCTAGACGATTATTTTGGATCAGATAGTTGGATTTCCAATCTCAGTTCAACTTCAAATGTTGAATTTTTCTTCAGAATTGTGAAGGTTTTCTGCATTTTCTTCTGGTGTCCAGTGCTGCTATCGAAATTTTGACGTTATTCTTGCTCTTGCTCCGTGTGTGAAACCTGTTTTATTATTTCTGGAGCCTCACAGGATCCTCTCTTTGTTCCCTGGGCTCAGAAACTGGACAGTGAAGTCTTGCTTTGGGACTCTCTCACCTCTTGGCAGCCCTTTAACTCTGCAAACAAGTGCCCATTAGTTCTGAGAAATGTTCTTAAATTATCTTCTGTCCTTCGTTCTCAAAATTCTATCTTTCTAAACCTCTAATTATGTAAATTTTGGACTTAGAAAATGAATCCTGTTTTTCTTTCTCCTATTGTTTTTCTTTCCCTTTTTTTGGGGGGGGGCAAGGGGTCCTAGTTTTCACATCTTCTGTTAAGAGAATCCTCTCTGTGATTACTTTTTTATTTTCCAGAACATCATTTTTATACTGTGTTTTTTTAAGTATCATTTTCTTGTTTCTTAATCTGTCCAAGGCTGTTGGTACCCCTACTCCCACCAGTTTCCTTACCCTGGACAGTCGGTTTCTTTAGGCCTCTTTCATGTCAGGTTTCCTGAACTGTCTGCGGATCTCTGGCTGTCTCTCCACTCACATTTAAGAATGAGGCATAAGCTGCCTGGGGACTTGGTGGTGATGACCGAACCATCTCCTGGGAAGCCTCACTGTGGGACTCTTTATCTCCGTATTCTCCCTTGAGCTGGTCGGCGTCCCCACAGAAGGCTTTTCCAATGTGGTGCTAGGATTCTAGGGGCCAAGTAGAAGAAACCTGTGGGGCTCAACAATCACCTTTCCTTCTTTGGTTCATTGTGATAAGCCCGCCCTCGACTGCTTTGCCCCAGAGAGTGATTTCAGGCTCTTGCCACAGTGGTCGGTGGAGAGGAGGTGCTGGAAAGGGGAGGAGCCTGGGGGCCCACTCCCTCCTAATTAGAATTTCAGCCAACTCTCTTCTCATCCCACCCTGCTGCCCTCCACTCCGGAGCAGCCTGGGACCGCTGAGTCCAAGCCTTCAGGGCCGCTTCCTCGCTCTCTGCGGCCCGGGGTTCAGGGTTCTTCAGTCTGCTATCCAGAACTCTCTCCCCTCTGCTTTCCAGCCTCTGAACCTCTGTCACCTCTTCCCACTTCTGTCCACCCCAGTGGTCAGGAAGCCTTAGGAGACACGCTCATATTTCCCCTGGGCTTCAGAGAGGGATGTATCTCCACTTCTTCTCTGAAGTAGATTTGTGGGGAGGTTGCCTTTCAAGGATCCATACTCTATGTAGGCGGAAGGGTGATGTCTCTGGTGCAACTCCCACCTTTGGTAGCCCAGACTTTGTCTCCTGCATGAGCAGGCTCGGGGTCACTGGGCACCAGCAGATGCCCCAGGATGACATTTGGCAGCTACAGAACTCTCCCCTCTGGGTTCACAGTTTCTTCTTTATTTCACCTCTGATAATCTCTTCTACTTTCCTCTTGGCTCGACGTGCATTTTATAATATTATTTAAAAGAATTAAAACAATAAATACTAAAAAGAATAATGTTTAGGAATTCTCTAGCAGTAAGGTTTCTGCAGACATCCAGTCTACCACGTTGCCTGACATGGGCCCTCCTGGCATCACGCAGCACTGTGTAGGAGACATATCCATGTGATGTCCCTAGCTCCGCTGGGCGACCCCTTGTGACTGGTAGGTTAGATGCCACGACTTCCTTTTTATAGCTCAAGACGCTGACTGACACATGGCCTCTATCAGGTAGCCCGGGGGCCTGGTGGCTGAGCTGATGTCACAAACCTGGATTTGAAGCTCTCTTCAATGACTCATGCTCTCAGGAGGGAACAGCATCTTCTCCAGTCCCAAATGGGAGCTGTGGAGTGGCTGATGAACTCCCAAAACCTCTCTGGGGTGCAGGTTATAGGGAAGATGTTGGGAGTCCTTGCCTCAAGACTGAATTTTTACGTGAGTTGAGGACAGTGTCTTATCCCTGCCCATACTGAAAGCACGTAAGCCACAGGCCTCTAAATGCCTCTGCTGTACAGCCCAAGAGCAGGTGTCTTAACAGCCATAAGCACTGACGGTTCTTCAAGGAAAACCCATTCTGTCACCAGGTAATAGCTTTATGGCCTCCAGAATCCCAGGGCACAGTGGACACGTTCGGGGAGAGATTCTGCTAAAAGCTGTTCTGTAGAATCCGAATTCACAAACAACCCTTTTATTATAAGAGAGTATGATAGCAGTCATTTCGTACGTGTGTTTCTTCCCCCATTCGTCTCTTCCTCCACACGTCGACAGGGAGTGGAAGTAAGAGCAAACCCAAACCAAGTTCAGCCTCCAGGCCCCATCCGTTTTCACTCGTAGTCAAGGTCTGGCCAGGAAGAGAACTCCGCTTCAGTTGTGTGGGTGGATTGGGACCGGTGATGGCGGATGGCTTCTGCCTGCCAACTGGGGGTGCTCCTGGGGGAGTGTCAGTGGGCACAGAGGGGCAGGAGGTGATGGAGAGCAATGGACAGTATTTTAACTGGTTTCTCTTTCTCCTCTGTTAGTCACTGGAGAGCATCATCCCAGGTGTTCTAGTTTTCGTAAAAAAGGAGTCAGAATCATCTAAATAAAAGTTGTGCCGAACTGCAGCATGCTGGCCGGCTCTCTTCCTTGCGCGTGTGCTCTTGTCGTCGGCTCACTGTGCCGCCCGCACCTTTGACACGCTGTGTTATGCTTCACAGGTACTGCGATTGCTTTGCCAGTGGGGACTTTTGCAACAATTGCAATTGTAATAATTGTTGTAACAATCTACATCACGAAATCCAACGGTTCAAGGCCATTAAGGTAACAATTTTTTCACTAAGTACATGCATTCTAAGAGTGTTTAAAAGTGCTTGAGATACGGGGCGCCTGGGGGGCTCAGTCGGGTAAGCATCTGACTCTTGGTTTCGGCTCAGTTCACGACCTCAGGGTCGTGAGATTGAGCCCCGTGTCAGGCTCTGCACTCAGCGGGGAGTCTGCTTGAGGTTCTCCCTCTCCCTCTGCCCCTCCCCCTGCTCACGCTTTCTCTCTCTCTCTCTTTTGCTTTCCCTCTGTTTTTTTAAATTAACATATAATGAATTATTTGTTTCAGGGGTACAGGTCTGAGATTCATCAGTCTTACACCACACCCAGCGCTCACCACAACACATGGCCTCCCCAGTGTCCATCACCCAGCCACCCCATCTCCCCACCCGCCTCCACTCCAGCAACCCTCAGTTTGTTTCCTAAGATTAAGAGTTTCTTATGGTTTGTCTCCCTCTCTGGTTTCATTTTGTTTCATTTTTTCCTCTCTTCCCCCATGACCCTCTGTCTTGTTTCTCAAATTCCACGTATCAGTGAGATCATATGATAATTGTCTTTCTCTGATTGATTTATTTCGCTTAGCGTAATACCCTCTAGTTCCATCCACATCATTGTAAATGGCAAGATTTCATCCTTTCTGATGGCTGAGTAATATTCCATTGTACGTATAGACCACATCTTCTTTATCCAGTCATCTGTTGATGGATATCTGGGCTCTTTCCACAGTTTGGCTATTGTGGACGTTGCTGCTGATAACATTGGGGTGCAAATGCCCCTTCAGATCACTACATTTGTATCTTTGGGGTAAATACCCAGTAGTGCAATTGCTAGGTCGTAGGGTAGCTCTATTTTCAACTTTTTGAGGAAACTCTGTACTGTTTTCCAGAATGGCTGCACCAGCTTGCATTCCCATTTCTCTCTCTCTCTCTAAAAATAAATAAATCTTTAAAATAAAAAAAAACTTCAGATATTCACAAAACTATCTCCAGAGACTCCCAACCAATTTCAATATTGGGAAAACGCAAAGTGTTGAGGAGTATACGATGAATAGGACTCTATTTCTGAAGGTGGAGTGTTGACCCTTGACCAGAGCTGTCAGGAGTGTGGCAGCCAGAGAAAGATCTTTATTCTCCGCCGCGTGGGATGGCTTCAGTGGTGCAGCTCTGTTGGAAGGTTCTGATGTAAGAACGTACAAATATCCACTTTGTCTTGACATGGGGTTTAGAGATTTGGGTCTCATCGTGTAGCAGATAATCCTGAGCTCGTAGAGTGTCGTCTGAGAGGTGTAGAAAGTCCTCTGGTCAGAGGACGGGGCGGAGGCTCTGAGCCATGACATGTGTCTAACCTCCGGGTGAGGGGAGAATCTGGACTTTCCTCAAGGGGCCAGCGGCAGCTCGGGCAGCCCTGTACCTGCTAAAGGCTACATGCAGGAGCTTGCACTTTTCACCCCTACCTGTAGGCGCGAAACATCATCAGAGGAGGGAGGACAGGTAGGTGTGGGGCTGCTAGCCTGCTCTGGGGGCATATTTGGTGCCCCCAGGTTACGAAAGGAAACCAAGGGCCTTCACATGTATAAACTTGAGACTGTCAGGCTGTGTCATGGGTTGGTCTGTTTTGTTTCTACAGTAATTTAATTCCCCTCTTGAATTATAGATAAATCACTTGAAAATATCTTACCCATTTTGATACAGCCAGAGCCATGGGACGAAAGAAAATTTTAATGCCTCTAAACATTAGTAGTGTGGGATTTTCTTTAGGATTAAAGGGTATTTTCTACAATTACAAGCATATAAAGTTTTCATTTAAAAGTGTTGGAATTTTCAAGCATTGCTGGTAGGAACATAAGTTGGTATAACTACTTGGGAAAATTGTTTGGCAATAGTTTTTTTTTTTTAATTTATTTATTAGGGAGAGAGAGAAAGCACAAGCAGGGGGAGTGGCAGGCAGAGGGAGAAGCAGGCTCCTCGCTGAGCAGGGAGCCCGATGTGGGACTCCATCCCAGGACCCTGATATCATGACCTGAGCCAAAGGCAGACACTTAACTGACTGAGCCACCAGGGATGCCAGGCATCCCTGGCAATAGTTTCTAAAGCTGAACCTTTGTAGGTGCTGTGACCCAGCAGTTTCATTCCTAAAAACAGAAACAACAGAAATGAGTGTACGTGTCCACTGCAGACGCACACAGCGGCCCCAGCCTGGAAAGAACCCTGTGCCTGTCAGGGGTAGAGGTCTGTCATACGGTGGAATACTACGCACCGGTGAAGAAGAAAGCATGGCCACCAAGCGCTCCTCACGGCTGAGTCTTGCGGGCGCCGTGCTGGTGAAGGCAGCGGGCATCACAGGGCATGCTGCAGGGGCCCAGAACAGCGGGAGCAGTCAAGTCAGCACGGTGGTTCCCACTGGGGTGTGTTGGTGGGGAGGGGTCCTGGGGAGCCTCTGGGGGCTGGACTACCCTCCAACCTGACGGGGGTGTAATCCCCCCCAGGGCACACACATGCTCCATTCATCACGCTCCCGCTGTGGGTGGTGCCCTCCCTGTCCCTCACCCTCCATGAGAATAAGAACATGCAAACAGGGCAGGCTCGCTCCAGGCCGCTGCTGTCCGAAGGACCTTCTGCAGCGATGGGAGTTCTCGTGGCGTTGGGCACAGACCCTAGCTGTTTCCCTGTGTGGAGAGAGCAGAGCGCAGGTGCTCCTGTCACTTTCATGTCACTCAAATTGCATCGAATCACTTTGTTAATAAAAATATATACGCATCTGTCTTTCTAGATAGATAGTAGAAAGATAGGCAAACAGAGTTAAACAAGCCAGGATAAAAAGCTGAGCATGTTGTGTGAGCAAGACGTGACCTGGTGCTTGAGCCTCCGGGCTGGGCGTGAGCATGGGGACCGGGGGTCCTATCCGTCACTGGCCATTTATTACTTCACCTCTTGGCCTCGGTTTCTTCATCTGTGAGACAGAAACAACAATGGTATTCACCCCCCAAGGCTGCTGTGAGGCTTGAGGGAGAGAGTGCACCTAGATCACATGTGGGGCACGGTCAGTGTTTAACCCAGGCCAGCTGTTAGCAGAGCACCACAACCTCAGCTGTCCCAGGAAAAAGCACACGGAAATGCTGGAAAGGAAATAGGGCCCCACAGACACGATCATTTTCTTTGCATCTTTAACATTCGGTTATTTTACAATAAATATGTGTGACTTTGAAACTCAGAAAAAAAAGAGCAATACCTTTAAGGGTGTAAATGAATTAAACTGAAACAAGAAGGGGACTCACTTTCTTAACTATGGAAGGACACACTGCCTCGTGTGGCTCTTTCTTTTTTATTATTTAAATTCAATTAATTACCATATAATTTATTATTGGTTTCAGAGGTACAATTCAGTGATTCATCACTTGCGTGTAACACCCAGTGCTCAGTACATCTCCTGCCCTCCTTAATGCCCGTCACCCAGTTACCCCAGCCCCCCACTTGCCCCCCTCCAGCAGCCCTCAGTGTGATTCCTAGAGTGAAGAGTCTCTTATGGCTTGTCTCCCTCTCCGATTTCATTTTATCTTTCCCTCCCTTCCTCTATGATCCTCTGTTTTGTTTCTTAAAATCCACATATGAGTGAGATCATATGATCATTGTCTTTCTCCGACTGACTTATTTCTCTTAGCATAAGACCCTTTAGTTCCATTCATGTCGTTGCAGATGGTAAGATGTCATCCTTTTTGATGGTTGTGTAATATTTCGTTGTGTCCTGTGGCTCTTCCTAAAGTAACAGATGGATTAACACGGCCCACAAGTGAGATAGCATTCACAGAACATTATTTTTACATAATAAAGTACATTTTGATGGAGTTTTGTGTTTTTTGTCTTAGGCATGTCTTGAGAGAAACCCAGAAGCTTTCCAACCAAAAATCGGGAAAGGAAAGTTGGGAGATGTGAAGCCTCGACATAACAAAGGCTGTAACTGCCGGCGCTCAGGCTGCCTCAAGAATTACTGTGAGTGCTATGAGGTGAGCCATCCCCCCGGGGCCCTGGGCTCAGTGAGAGAAGCCGGGGCTCCTTCGCTTCGGGAGTCCTCCGTGAGCCCACGGTGAGCGCACAGCAGAGGCTCCCGCCACGTGGCCCTGCCCTCTCTGTGGCAGCAGGTCGGGGGCTCCCAGGGGTGCAGAGCCTTGTCCCCAGGCTGGTGCTCAGAGACCAGAGCGGACCGCGAGCCTTGGCTGCCGGGCAGAGCACACCGCGGGGCGCAGCAGGTCCCGGGCCTCGGTGTCTGCCTCTTTCTCCCGGACTGACTCATGGAGCGAGTGCAGGGGCTCTGGCTCTCTCCCCTCATCTTCCCGCTCCTCTCTTGGTGTTGCAGGAAAGGGTGGGAGAGAGCAAAGAGCCCGCAGGCCCCAGCAGTGAAGCAGCTGGGGAAACCCTTACTTGAAAGGCCCTCCTTTGGTTTGCTTGCGGTCTTTGGGGGGTACCTGTGAATTTTATTTGTAAAAGGTTGCCCCACATGGTCAGGCTTGAGAAGAGTCCTTGTGATTTCGGGGACACACGTTGGAAGCTCTGAGTAAGCAGGCCCAGCCATCCCCCAGCTAGGATTTTGAAAATGCGGTCAAAACTAGTGCAGAGAGACAGAATTCAAGCAGCGAGTGCCTTCCCCCCCCACCCCCAGTGGAGCGGTTTCTCACAGCATCTCTGCCTGCTCTTCACCCACTTTCCAGAGGCTGAGCCTCTGCCAGGCAGCTGCCCACGTGAGGTGCAGATGTTCTGTAGTCTCCAGAGTAGACTAGAAATCCTGAAAAGCCTCTTGCTCAAAACACCCAGTGGGGCGTAAAACACAATAGATACCCTTTGATGCGCATCTCTGAGCTGAAGAGAAAGGAGGGGCACCCCTAGCAGTTGAGACAAAGAGGGAGCCATGGCTGTCAGCAGGGCCAGCTTCCAGACAGCCCCGCGGCCGGCGTGTGCGACGGGGTGCGCCCCGGCTCGCCAGGCATGCTGCCTTGTGCCAAGAGGTCAAGTCCGCACACAAGCAGGCGGCAAGGGCCTCCCCTGGGACAGCCACGCAAGGCTGGCCCTCGGCGGGTTTCAGACCCCCCCCCACAGCCGCACGTCCCCTGCAACAGTGGAGGCAGCAGGGCACAGGCCTCGGAGGCGCTGCGGGCTCGGTTCCAGAGCACCCCCATAAAGCAAATACCGCATTCAAGCCGGTCCGGTGCAGGTATGCTTACACTGCACGATGGGGTGCAGTGCGTGAAGTCTAAAACACAACGCACGTACCTTGGTTAAAAATGCTGATCTTCCTCTGAGCTCTTAGTCGCCATCACGGGGCACAGCTCACCGGAGCAAACATAAGGATCCTGAAAAGTTTGAAATATTGAGAGTATTACCAAAATGAGACACAGAGACACAAAGTGAGCAAAGGCCATTGGAAAACCTGTGTCGACAGGCTTGTTGGACGCAGAGTGGCCACAAACCCCCCATGTGCGAAAACGCAGTATCTGCGAAGCGCAGTGGGGGGGAGGGTGAGCTGAGAGCTGTGGGCTGGGGCTCTAGGACCTGCGATCTAGTCAGGGGCAGCGCTCCGACCCCCTCTTTCTGCTCGGGACTCACGCCCGCACTCACACGCCAGTCTCCCAAACCCCTCCCCGGGTTTGTGTGAAAATTGCAGATCACACACACACACACACACACACGTGTGCAAAGAGTTATATAAGGTCCAAATAGAATGTGTTGTTTTTTGATGAATTATAGGGCAGTCTAATTTTATTGAAGCATTTTATGTTACCAGGCCAAAATTATGTGTTCTTCTATTTGCAAATGCATTGGTTGCAAAAATTATGAAGAAAGCCCAGAACGGAAAACCCTAATGAACATGCCCAACTATATGGAAATTGGAGGGTTTGAAGGCAACCATCATTTGTCACCAACTAAATTCTCAGGACTACCAAAATTCAGACAAGATAGGTAGGTACTGTGAACCAGCCCTCTGAAGAGGGGAACCAGGTTAATTTGAGGAGAGTTAGTCTATACGCTGGAAAGAAAGTGGGTGCGTCTATGAGGGGGTGTGAGGGATGGGGAGCGGGTGACGGCTCCCCTGCTGGACCAGCCCGAGATCCCACCCTGTGCTTCCGTGGGGCCCCCACTGCCGAGACCACTCTGTCCAGTCTGTCCTCACGGACAGAGTTACCCGCGTTGTGTACAAGCAGACGGCCCCACAGGGACCGCCGACAGGCAGCGAGGGCATGATCTCTAGACCGCGGGTACCTGACCCCCTGCTTACCATGTGAGGTGGCAGCCCGCCTACCCTGCGCGCTCCTTCTTAAAGGGGTGGTGGATCTCACACTAGGTGGATATCATCCCATTGAACTACGTTGAGGCCATGTTATAATCTCAAAGGTTGAGTGATAATTTTACTCTATATTGGACTAGATTTATCCATTTAAAAAAAATGCCTTTCAATTCGATGTCATGGGTGATATCATGATAGAGTACCAGATATCATGTATTCACATACTTTTGAAAAGCCAAGTTCATGCTTATTTGGTCAGAGACATCAGAAGTACTCATCACTGTGAGCTGCCGAGGTCTTTATCAGTAAAAATTGACCAAACACGGCTTCATGGTCCGTGAAAGGCTGAGCAAAGATGTTCTCTCCCGGCTCCGGGACACGGTGTGTCCCACCGTATGTGACGGAGGCTCTGCATGTTGGAGTCTGGCCTCAAAATGTCAGGACTCTTCCTGACCTAAGGGCTGCCCTGTTTCTTCATCTTCAACAAAAGTCATTGTGTGTTGTCTGCACAGAGAGATTTTAACCAATCCCAATTCCTATGTCTGTTTTCATCATCCAGCACTTGTCAGTACTTTAGGAAATTTTCCTAAATTTCTGCAGTTTGAGCACTGTGTGGGCGGCCGTCTAGCAAAGCTTGCCCCTCGAGCTCAGGGGGGTATGGCCGGTCTTGTACGATAGGGTACTGCTGACTTTCAAAACCTCGTCCAGGGCTCCAACGGGCATTCGGAGGGGAGGCCGTGCCGATAGTGCTCCTCCAAGGGGGCGAGTCCTCAGAGCCGTTGGCATCCTGGAGCTTCAGGTGCCCCTGGGGGACGTGGGGCTTCCCTGAGCGCACGCATTGTGCACAGAGCTGGGAGCAGGCTACATGGCGCATCTCTAGGGCCTCGCCTTATCTGAGATCCCTGCCTCTACCCCTGCCCAGCCCCCGGGCTGGACGCTGTCGCCCCGGTGCCTCTGAATGTTACGGTGGATCTACTTCGGAGACTCTTTAGAATCTGCCATGAGAGGGGGGTCAAGAAGCAGATGGGTTGCCTCTAAAAGCAATGCTGCATATTGTCAGGGTTTCCAATATTAGGAAGATAACAGTTAGATTTTACTGGGGACATTCTTCAAAATAGCCTGATGAGGACGTCCCCCGAAATCCATAAGGTATTTAAAATGTGGTGCCAAGGACCGTGGCCTGTAACTGCTCTGTTTCTGCCAGGCGCTCTTCCTCGTGCATCTCCTGGGAGGTGGTGGAGGCCACATGCGCCTGCCTGCTGGCTCGGGGCGAACAGGCCGAGAAGGAGCGCTGCTCGGAGTGCTTGGCGGAGCAGGTGATCTTGGAGGAATTCGGGAGGTGCCTGTCACAGATTCTCCGTATTGAGTTTAAATCCAAAGGGTTGAAAATTGAGTAGAGTTACCGTGTAGTGAAGTCAGAATGCACATAGATTTTGTTTCAGTATTCTGAGGGAAAGAAATCTGTAGTTTAGAAAGGTTGTTTGAGGAACACAAGGCCGGGTCTGCGTCACCGGCTGTGTCCCTAAGGTCGGGCTTTCCCTCTGCATCAGGGTGCCGGGGGATTTACTCAGAGCGGGTGAGGGTCTTGGCGATCACAACCCCCCTTTTTGAGGAAGTGCAGGGCACAACTAACCATTGCTGTCTGGCCCTGGGGAGAGAGCGTTGAGCCCTGTGACCCTGGGAGAACCGTCTGCACACACGCACAGTGATGGAGGGTGTGAGCGGGCTCTGGAGGAATAACAGTCCCTCCCCACTGACTTCACCCTGTCTTGGAAATTTTCCTCTGGAGGCTCCTCTGCCTAAAAAGCCATAATGATTTTTCACTAAAATGATTTTAAAAGAAATTCTCCAGATGGCTGCTAACATACAACTTAAAATCTCCAGAGAAGTACCAAATACCTGGAGGAATTCCCAAGTGTAAACGTTTTCCCAGAGTCACACAAATTCTCCGTCTCCCCTAGGGCCACTGGGATACACAGGCAGCCAGCTCGTGGTTATGACTGAAAATGATCTAGTTTCTTATGTGTTTTCATTTGAATGTGGAAAAGCTCTATTGTCCAATTAAATTCTCCCTAATTATTGTTCTAATATTATTATTGTTTGTTAAAATATGGTTAAAATAACTAGTTTGCAGAAACCAGCAGGTAAGATTAGTTATTAAGTTGACTCTCTTTTGGTTCTATTGGAAAAGCAAAGAGGATTAAAAATTTTAAATGTCTTCCATTGTTGTAATTAACTTAGTAACTGAAAACATATTCGTCATGTTTCTGTGTTTATGAATAGCCTTGGCCCCTTAGAGACCGTTTAGAAAGCTCACTTGCGAGCACAGCAGCATGGAGCCCAGCGGCCGCGGGCATTTCTCAAGAGCTGTATTTGGAACAGCAAGTTCTGATGGGGAACCATGGAGGGGGAGAAAAAGAATTCTTCACCATTTTAATCCCCCTTTGGCTCCTTCGGACAGAGATATGGGGTGGCAAGCCGGAGGCAGAGACCAGCACTGGGTGGTGGTGGGGCTCTGCCCAGGCTGGGTGCCCCGTTGCCGGGGCGCTTCCAGTCCCATGTGCATCTGCTGGAGGAGCCCCGTCCACATCACCCTTGGGGCTGGGAGGGTCCTGAAATAGGGCTTCATGACCCCTTCCTGGGGGGCGGCCTTCCCTCTGCGTCTCTCCTGAGTGCTGCCAATGGTCTGCAGACCACACAGGTAACTTAAAATTTTCTAGGAGCCACATTTTAAAAAAAGCGAAAGGAGGGCGCCTGGGTGGCTCAGATGGTTAAGCGTCTGCCTTCAGCTCAGGTCATGATCCCAGGGTCCTGGGATCGAGTCCTGCATCGGGCTCCCTGCTCCTGGGGAGCCTGCTTCTCCCTCTGCTTCTCTCTCTCTCTCTCTCTCCCTCTGTCTCTCATGAATAACTAAATAAAATCTTTAAAAAAAAAAAAAGCGAAAGGAGTAGGTGAAATTTATTTTAATTATCCTTTATCTACTGTGATTTCAACACGTAATCAAAATAAAAATGAGATATTTCGCATTCTTTTGTATGTACCAAATCTTTGGAATCCAGCGTGCATTTTACACTCACATACACACACCAGGCATGTTGCAGGGGCTCAGGAGCCACAGGGCACAGGTGTGGAGGGGGGCAAAGGGAACTCTGTTCTCCAGAACTATTCTGAGCCAGGAGCTGCCCCGAAAGGCCCTGAAACCAGTGTGACCCACCTGCAGAGCCCGGAGAATGGCCTGGCGAAGGAGGAAGGTGAGCACCCGCCCTGGGGTCGGGGACCCGGCCTGACCCAGGAGCTGCCTGGAGCCCAGGTTCATGTGGGGCAAGGGACCTATGGTGTGGGGCCAAGAGACTTGGGCTGCAGCCAGGGATACTGAGCTGAAACCTGAACATTAGGGAAAGGGCACGACCCCTGGAGAGTTTCTCGCCAGGGAGAATTTAGTAAGCCCATACTTTTAGAAAATTTAGGCTTTTAGAAAATTCATTGTGAGAAGTGAAAGCAAAGTAGAGCTGTGTATCAAGCCAGTGTAATGCCCAGAGGTGACAGCTACATAGGATGACGAAAAAGATATAGAATTGTCTCTTTTGTTGCTGGTAAAGAACCAATGCCATTTTAAAACTATATAAAAATAAACATGGCATGTCTTTACTGCGAGACTATCTGTTGGGTTTTCGGTGGCGGGGTTGGTTTTGTTTTTCCCCAAATGCAGCTTAGCTTAAACCTTGCCTTTTCAAGAATCTGAGAAAAAGTCATAGCAAATGACATGCTGAAAGAAAGCTGTTTCTCCCCTCTGAACACTTTGACACCACACGTGTGGCATTTCCCCTCCACCAATCAATTCTCCATTTCTCTGGACAACAACTGGGTGTCCTGTTAGTACTCCATTCAATTCTGACACTAACTGCCTGGAGTTAGTGTCGGATTATCCAGGTGAAGGGCTCAGTCCCCACCAGACTGCCCTCAACCTCAGAGGCCAGTTGCAAGTACTGGGTCCCCAGGTGAACCCACACACTTCTGTCTGACTTGGCTGCAACTGGAGGTTCCCAGGACCCCCACTTCGGGTCTGAGCATTTGCTATAACTGCTCACAGAACTCAGGGAAACATTTAACTTACTATTACCAATTTATTATAAAGGATATTAAAGGATAATAGGAACAGCCGGATGAAGAAGTGCACAGGGCAAGGTTCGGGAGCGCACTCTGTCCCTGGGAAGCTGGGGGCCCCCACCGTCCTGGCAGGGGGCAGTCACCAACCCAGAGACTCTGAACCCTGTATTGTTGGGATTTGTATGGAGGTGTCCTGTCATAGGCATAATCAAGTATCAACTCAATCTCCAGCCCCTCTCCGCTCCCTGGATCATGTGGCTGGGTCTTTCTGGTGACCAGCCCCCAACCAGGAGCCCACCCAGAGTCACCTCATTAGAACAAACGACACTCCAGCCAAGAAATTACAAGGGTTTTAGGAGCTCTGTCAGGAACAAGTGCACAGACCAAATACATATTTCTAGGTTACACATGCTGAAATTTTCTCAGTTAACCATGAGCTTGTACACAGTACAGAAAACATGGGAACCTATGAAACATTCTGTTGCCTGGAAAACATCAGCAGGAACCTGTCTGTAGTCCTTCTCTTGGCTCAGAAGCTCTTCATCCCTTTACAAAACCCTACATTAATTACCTGAAGTTCTACCGAATTCCAGTAGGGCTGCAGCGTAAAACCACAATAGACGAGTTACTGTATGAGCTAGGCTAGAACACTGGTTTAGCAAATGGAAGATGGAAGTTTCTTATAAAGATGGTGCCCAGGGAATCACTTTGGGGAAAAGAAGAACCACCGGAGGGGAAGGGAGCTCTCCCTACAAAGGCCCTGGGCGCAGGTGGGCAGAGGTGAAGTGGGACACCAGCATCGCGCTGTTGGTGTTCTGGAGTTTGGCCCTTCCCTGATAACCCATGATGTGGAGCATCTTTTCATGTGCTTGCTTGCCTTCTGGGTATCTTTTTTGGTGAAGTGTCTGTCCAGGTCTTTTGCCCATCTTTTAATTGGGTTGTTCATTTTCCTACTGCTGAGTTTTAAGAGTCCTTTGTATATTTTGGATAACAGTCCTTTATCAGATATGTATTTTGCAAATACTTTCTCTACAAGTGGCTTGTCTTCTCATTCTCTCAATAGTGGCTTTTGCAGAGCAGAAGTCTTAAATTTTAATGAAGTCCAGCTCATTCAGTTGTTCTTTTATGGATCATGACTTTGGTGTTTTATCTAAAAAGTCACTGCCATGTTCAAAGTCACCTAGATTTTCTATGTTATCTTATAGGAGCTTTATAGTGTTGCATTTTATATTTGTGTAGATGGTCTACTTTGAGTTGATTTTTGTGAAGTGTGTAAGCTCTGTGTCTGGATTCCTCTTTTTTTTTTTTTTTTTTGCATGTGTATGTCCAGCCGTTCAGCAGCATTTCTTGAAAAAACTATTTTTGCTCCAGTGTGTTGTCTTTGCTCCTTTGTCAAAGATCAGTTATAATAGTATTAATGTGAGTCTATTTCTAGGCTCTCTGTTCCATTCCACTGACCTATTTGTCTGTTCTTTTGCCAATACCACACTGTCCTGATGATAGCTTTGTGGTAAGTCTTAAAATCAGATAGTTGTCAGTCCTTCAACTTTGTTCTTTTTCTTCAATATTGTGTTGGATATTCTAGGTCTTTTGCCTCTCCATATAAACTTTGGAATCTGTTTTTGGATGCCCACAAAATAACTTTAAGAGATTTTAATTGGAATTGAATTGATTCTATAGATCAAGTTTGGACATCTTGAAAATGGACATCTTGAAAATATTGAGTCTTCTTATCCATTAACATGGAAGATTTCTCCAATTACTTAGCTCTTCTTTGATTTCTGTCATCGGAGTTTGTAGTTTTCCCCATATAGATCTTGTACAGATTTTGTTAGATTTGTACCTATGTATTTCATTTTTGGGGTGCTACCATAAATGGTATATTTTTAATTTCAAACCAGTTCATTGGTGTTATACAGGAAGCAATTAATTCTTTTTTTAAGATTTATTATTAGAGAGAGAGCAGGGGGGAGGAGCCAAGGGAGAGAGAGAATCTCAAGCAGACTCCCCACTGAGTGTGGAGCCCGACTTGGGGCTTGCTCTCACGACCTTGAGGTCATGACCTGAACTGAAACCAAGAGTCGATCACCCAACCGACTGAACCACGCAGGCACCTGTAAAACCAATTAATTTTTGTTTATTAACCTTGTATCCTGCAACCTTGCTATGATTGCTTTTTAGTTCCAGGGGTTATTATTGTTGATTTTCTGGCTTCCTACATAGACAGTCATGTCATCTGCAGACAAAGATTTTTATTTCTTCCTTCCCAATCTGTATGCCTTTTTAGTTCCTTGTCTTCTTGCATTAGCGAGGACTTCAAATAAAATGTCCCCAACAATGAGAGGGGACATCCTTGCTTTGTTCCTGGTCTTAGCAGGAAAGCTTTTGGTTTCTTATTATTAAGTATGATGTTAGCTGTAGGGTTTTTTGGTAGATGTTCTATGTCAAGCTGAGGAAGCTCCCCTCTATTCCTAGTTTGCTGAAAATTATCATAAATAGGTGTTAGATTTTGCCAAATGCTTTTTCTATATCTACTGATATGATCACTCCCCCTGCTTGTGTTCCCTCTCTTGCTGTGTCTCTCTCTGTCACATAAATAAATAAAATCTTTAAAATTTTTTTTTAACTTATTTATTTGAGAGAGAGACGGATAGTGATAGTGACTGTTGAGTTTTGAGAGTCCTTTATATGCTTCAGAGAAACATATCCTTGGTGGGATATCCCTTGATGGGACATGTGATTTGCAATTTTCTCCCAGTGCTTAGCTTGTCTTTTCTTCCTCTTCCTCTTCCTTGGTAAGAACTGCATTAATCCGTATACAGAGTTGGAGAGAGTCAGCCGCCTTACTCTGTTGAGAAGACAAAAAGAAAACCCAGAACTCACCACTGTATCATCCTTGGGTCCCGAGGTCTGCCCTCTTCTTGACCTTTCAGAGTCTTACGCTTGCTTTATACAAAATGTCCAGGGTTGTACTTAGCACGAGGATCAGGGAGAATTACATCCACTGTCTCCCTGAAAGCAGAAATCAGCAACCTTTTCTTTAAAAGTTGGATCAGAGGTGGTCAAGCTCTCTGCTTTCTAGAGCCATCCCAGTTTGTTTCATGGATAAAATAGGGTAAAATCCAGAAAAATGGAGCACAGAACCACTTGTTTTGCAGTGAATTAAAAACAAAAGTTCATAGGCTGCACGTTAGAGTAATCAGCTTCGATCGTTCGCGT